GATTCAAGCAGTTCATCTGGTTCAGGAACATTCAGTTCTCATTAGAAAAAGAGGGGCATGGCGCACACTCCTTTGTCCCCCTGTCTCTCTCCACCCCTAGCTTTGTATATAAAATGGAGTGAATTTTACATCTTGCCCTCCTCTCCTCTTCCTCTGCTTGCAGTCTGACTTGGGTGGGAAATTCAATCCTGTAAGTATTCTATACTTTTTTTTTTTTTTACAATAATGGATGGATTTCTGTGCAAGAGCAGTTAAATGCATGAAGAAGTTATTGCAGTTTACTGTTAAATCTCTGCTGTTGCAATTAGGTTTATAATAAGTGCATAAGACTTACTGTGGGTATAAACTAATGTAAGGTAACAAATAAATACTGTTTAGTTAAAAAAAAAAGAAATGGCAAAACATTTTTTCAATGCATTTTTAGTTTTTAAATGGATACATCACAGGCTTGATTTTTTTGTTGCAGAATCATGAGCAGGAACTTCTTGTCCAGAAATGATGAGCTCCGGAGGGGAGACTACCTGATATCCAACAACAGGGAGTTTAAGGCTGTTTTCCAGGTGAGTAACTCAGAATATATGTGCACTCAATTAGGATGCATGATCCATGTGTACTGGTCTGTGTTGAAAGTAAATTCAAAAGTAAAAGAGCAAGTTTTTAGAAATGCACTTTCTGATTTAAGTAAAATGTCTCTTTTTTTCTGCCTGCAGGAGGATGGTAACTTTGTCATCTATGGCTGGAAGCCTGTGTGGGAGTCTGACACCAAAGGGACAGACGCTCAGCGCCTGTGCATGCAGGCTGACTGCAACCTGGTCATGTACAACAAGTGTGATGAACCCAGGTGGCACACAAACTCTGCCAAATCTGACTGTAACATGTGCCGTCTTCACTTGACCGATGACGGCAAACTGGTGTTGAACAGAGAATGTGATGAAATCTGGAACTCTGCCAAATCCAAAGGCATGAAGTAATTAAATGTATGTGAAGGTCTTGTTTGGAAGTCAACTTGAAAAACATGCCAACTGTGTAATCTGGAATCAAATAAAAACAATTTTTAACAAAGCATAAATTAGTTTTTTCCTCATCTTTGTGGTGATCAAAGTATGTCTCTGCATCTCAACTTCACATTTTTGATGAATTCGAAACAATGAAAAGTGAGTTGAAATACAAGTTGTGTCATTGTAAAAAAAAAAAAACTAAATCTTTGCTCTTATGGTGGCTCGCACTAGTCCTGTTTTCAAAATCTTACATAAGGTTAAGTGAAAATATAATCCTTATCCTATTAAAATGTTCGTATTATTCAGATGGTCCAGATCAGAGTTAATACAGGATTATTAATACTGAAGCATAAAATGTAAGAAGCATGACATAGTTGGATGTGATATTGTTTTGTATTTTATTTAGCAGCAATGCCCTCTGATGGGTCTTATATTGAGTGTGGGCTTGGTGAGGTCAGAGGGTCTGACTGTATTTTAGTATCAAAGGTAGTTTTATGACATTAAATGTACTCAAGCATTGAAAGTAAGCGTACAAGTAAATGCTGTTAATTAAAATGCAAGCAGTTAGAAGTTTGAGAATTATGAAGTCCATTTCTTAAAACCTTTGAACGTGGAGTGTACAAGTGAAGAAAAACATTTTTTTTTCACAATTTAAAGGATTCAAAGATCAGATCCAGTTTTTCCTTCCCTCCCTCTCTCCTTCCTTCCTCCTTCTCTTCCCTATTTTGTCATAAGTAATGACAATGTAGGGGAAATTTTATTGAGTAAAAGTATACATTTTATTTAGGAAATGATGGAGTAAAAGTGAAAGTTCACAGAAATTAAAATACTCAAGTAAAGTACAGATACTCCCAAAAAATACTAAAGTACTGTAACACTGGAGACATGGACCAACAGAGGAAAGGCAGTGTAATACAGTATGATGGTACTATTCCATGCAGCCTAAGGCGTAAGGATATGTAAGTAACGTCAACACAAGAAGAGATGGGCGTGGCGTCGGGCCATTGTTGTTATGTATGCTTTATATATAGTACATGTGCATCCAAGTCGAGTCAGAATCAGAGACTGCTTATGCACAGGGCCCAGAATTTGGTGCTACGCCCCTGACTGGACCTTTAACCAGTGCAGCAGTAACTGACATTGAGTGTAATGCTTATGTTTTGAATTTGTGTTTTGGCCTGTTGCGCCACCCACAGCCGTCTACCAGTCACGCAGTCAGTAGAGTCTCAGCATCAGTTACAGTTACGACTGAGCTACAGCAGCACGGCAAGCAGCATTAGCAGTGTCCCAGTACATAGCATTAGCAGTCTCCTCAGCTCCGCAGAGAAGAGAAGCAGAGAAGCCGGACTTGCTCGAACGGTCCACTGGAAAACCGAAAATCAAGGACGCGGCGACGTGCCCGTGGACAAACAAATCAGTCTCCAGCGTGCCGCTGTCCAGCAGCCTCGAATCTGTAGGGGAGGGGGGGGCGGACACGACTCGCAGCAGTATTTTGAATTTGAGTGTAGTAACCGTTTGGCCACATTCTTACATACAGTGCCTTTAAAATCGACTTCTTCCTAGGAAGTTTGACCGATCTGTGTGAAACTCGGTGAACATAATCTAGGGACCAATATCTAAAGTTCCCTCTTGGCAAAAGTTGGAAAACGTACTAAAACTGAGCTTCTATAAGGCAATGACTTTAACTATCTGCATTTCAACGTGCTACCTCAACTACTAATGTGCAGTTTGAGCCCACTAACTATCCCACTATTGGCAATGGTTCTACTGTACTGTACTGTACCCTAACACACACCATGTGAAACTGTATGTGGGCAACTGTGCACTCAGTGGGTATGGACTAGTTTAATAGCACTTTTATTTTGATGAGCAACACAACTTATGAAGGCAGCAATGCCACCGGTAAAGTTGGTGGTGGTTGTGTGCAACCATGAAATAGTTGCAGTCTGGCATAAAATGGAAATAAGATGAAACAACTAAGTACCCTGACATTCTAAATTGATAAAGCACAAATTGTTGCATAGAAATCCACCAGAATGCAGGAAATGTAGTGTTCGATGCTCGAAATTTCTTGAAGGAGGACCCCAAGACCTGCCCTTGGTCTTTAGAGTGGCTATTCTGATTTATAGTTAGACAACTGTAAAATGCTGGTCTTGATCAGATCTACATGTAACAACCAAAATCTTTCCAGATGGAGTCTCCTAAAGGGAAATCTTATCAATCTGGGGTCCATGACCTTATGTGTTTCAGTTTAGGGCTCCTTAACACAAAAAAAGGTAGAGAACCACTCAGCAAGAAGGACGTCACTCTGTACTCTGAGATAAGATTAATATATTTTCATCACACGTATTCTTTGAGGTTGAACTTCGAAGGGAGGTGGAAGCTGACTTTTTATCTGGTCTCAGTTATTTCTCCAGTTTCATAACATAAGAATAAATTGGCAGCTGGGCTCAGGCAATAATGCATACCCAAGAGCTTACTTTATACAGTGAGATCAGCTGTGAGCGTGCACTGTATTTGGAGGAAATGTGATATGGGAGTGTCATCCTGTCAAAAGAATTTCTTTGTAATGACCTTTAAAACAACAGAGACCGGAGCCGAAATATCAAAGTTTAACAGAATTTATTTTCTTGTACAAGAAGGAGCGTTTCACAGTGCAACACACAAGATGAGGTTACAGAAACTGGTGGACTCAAATGCACGACTCGCAGTAGGTTTAACAAAGTATTTTACTTGGCAAAATCAATTTAAACAAAAGGCACTCTCAAGGAGGATTTACAAAGTTCAAAACAAAACACTCACAGGATAAAAAAATATCACAACTTAAAATCAAACCTGATAACATGAAAACCTGGCATCACACAGACTGAACAAGACAAAGGGAGATAGGGACTGTTTATACATGAGGTGGGGAACACAGGTGAAACCAATCAGGGGTGGGGTAGACAATCACAATGGCGGGAAAATCACACAAAGGGAGGAAGTCAGGGTCTGAAATGAGAGGGAAAAGGTGAGTACAAAATAAAACAGGAAGTGCACAACGAGACTGGACATGAGTGACTTTAACTTAACATAAAGTGCTCATGACAACAAAGGACTAAACATTAAAACTAAACTAAGGCATGACATAAAATATGAAACACTAAACATGAACATGAATAACATTAACATACTTGACGAGACACAACAACAACTTCAAGTTTTTATACAGAATAGGTGGGCGTTGAAGTTCAACCGTTTCAGTTCTCCTAATCTACCAAGTATAGACTTCATAGATAACATTTTTCAGTTGGTGTGACCCCCTGTCACACTGCCCTCCAGATGATATGTCCCCCCAGTGTCTCCGACACTTGGTTTCTCCCACTTCTCTTACAGATATAGTACCGAACTTACCTTAACCTGTCTGCTGATGTTGCAGTGTTGCAGTACGAAACAGGAACAATCCTTCAAACTTGCACAAAATAATAGCATAAATAAACAGTGTGATCACAATTTTTATAACACATCCTATTGTGAACAATACATCCCTTTCGTACCGGATCTACAGAGAATTTACATCTTACTGCAAATCTCACATGCATACTGGACATGTTTTCAAAATGGACCCAATCTCAAATTATCCAGCTGTTTCATAATAAATCACCAGCTGACACACAGCAACATTAAGATTCTTTGGAGTTGTGTTTCTGTCGACTTGGTGAATGTTAGTCCAATATTTACTACCCTTTTAGCTCTGTTTTACCCTGTATCTCCTTGTGCTAATGTTTCACCATGTTCACCAGCCAGTCACTGGCAAGTCTGTCTGTTGTATGTTAACATTGTATGTTACCTGCTGGGCAGGTAACATACAATGGTTTCTATTTCATATGACTCGACCCTGTAATCGGCTTTGCTGTTGTTAACTTGATCAAGGCCCCTTCATTCTTTATCCATCCACTAGATGCCCTCAGACTTGTCCTCTTTCCCCATCACCTGGCTGCCCCACACATCCAACCACCTGTTCTCACTTAACTCACCGGCTCTGCAGTTGCCTGGGGCATGATCAGTCTGAAAACAGTATGCACTGTTTTTGCTACGAGGTCCAGGTTGACCATGTTTCCTCAAAGTGGTGTGCAACAGACTTTAAGGTTAGCCTACATTTTCTTTTATTTGATGGGTGTGTCAGAGATGTCACCCAATCAGGAGTGATGTGTATATAAACATAATTCTGGTGGATCTTTACTTATTGTATATAATTCTTGTTTTTATTTTGTTGTGGCAAGGTTAACACATGCCTATAAACCCCCTTTATATTGACTTCAAAACATTATGTTTGTTGCACTACAGTTTCTTTTAAAACATTTTTGCGATATTTTGTCGGGGCTGAATGCAGCATTGGCCTTCCCCACTCACCCACTAACCATGCCTTGTTGTTTCTTGCCATTGTGGTGACCCCTGCTGTTGTCTAGCAGCAGTGTCTTTGTGTGCTTTAAAGCTGGGGTGTGCAGCTTTCTGGAAAAGCCTACCGGATGAGCACAGGCATTTGTACATGCTTCATACAGTAGCCCCAGTGTTTCCCATACATTGATTCATTGTATTTCACTGTAGAGCTGTTGAAAGTGGATCCCCCACTTTCTCAGTCTAATAAATAACCAATATAAACTCACAAAATGTCATGAAAGGTAATATTCGTACACATATTGAAAAGAAAAATACAACCATACATTTTCTGAATTCAAGTTTTTCTCGTACACCAAGCTGAGACTAGCTTAACTGCCTTGTTAACTCATTGTGAGACACACTTAACTCAAATTCGACAGAAATAAAACATGATTTACCAAAACAGTCTTAGTTTGTCTTGTTAGTCATCTAGTTAGGTAGTGCACTGTTCCAACAGTCGCCAGCTCTGATTAGGTTGGAATAAACCCTTAATTCATTGAGTTAGATGTGAAGATATGCTGTTTCTCCCAGCAGTCTCTTTCTGTTGTTGCCGTTGACACTCCTGTTATCTTATCCACACCACTTAGAGTCACCATGTTTGTCAGCTCAGCTGCCTGTTCCACCAGTAGAGACCGGAGACTGACCTCTGTGGTTAATAGAAAGAAGGGTGGCTGTATTGTAAAGGTATTGAAAATCATACCATCCTGATCTCTAAATACCATGGTATACTGTGATACCACCCACGCCTAAGATAAACTTCCTTTTAAGAGGCAGAAGCATTGAGGAGAACCAGACACTGTGGTGGGTGATGATGTAGAATAGCGCATATGCGAAATAAAGTGGAGTACACCACATCCTTGCTGATCCAGCTTATAATCATGAAAGCTTCACGTCAAGCTCAGGCATGTCTATTACATCTCTTGATAAATGAACATGAGTAGTGATATCACAGATGGGTAAAGCTCCTGGAGCACTGATTAATGTCTAAGAATATTCAAGATGTATCTCTTGTTCAGCATCTCACCCTTCAAAGATCATGCTTATGTCATTAAAAAACAGTCCCTGCATTGTTACAGGGGGATTCAGGCAGTTCAGGAACATTCAGTTCTGATTAGAAAAAGAGGGGCATAGCACTCCCCTTTGATTCCCCCCCCCCTCTCTCCACACCCAGCTGTGGTATATAAAAAAGGAGTGAATTTCACATCTTGCACTTCACTCCTCTTCCTCTGCTTGCAGTCTGACTGGGACGGGACACTCAACCCTGTAAGTATTCTGTACTTTTATACTGATGGATGGATTCATATATTTTAGTGCAAGAGCAGTTTAATAACAATTTAAGAGTTGTTGCAGTTCACTGTTAAATCTCTGCTATTGAAATTAAGTTTGTAATTGGTGCTTAAGGCTTATTGTGGGTACTGTGGGTAGAAAGATTACAACCATTTATACTGGCAAACCAACTCACAAAGCATATTTTCAATGTATTTTCAGTGTTTGAATGGACATAGCACAGACTTTCTTTTTGTTGCAGAATCATGAGCAGGAACTTCTTGTCCAAAAATGATGAGCTCCGCAGGGGGGACTACCTGATATCCAACAATGGGGAGTATAAGGCTGTTTTCCAGGTGAGTAACTTACACTATTTGTGCACTCAAGACTCCTATCAGGTTGCATGATACATGCACACTAGTCTGTACCAAAGTAAATACAAAAGTAAAAGAGCAGGTATTTGGAAATGCACGTTCTGATTTAAGTAAAATGTCTCTTTTCTGCCTGCAGGAGGATGGTAACTTTGTCATCTATGGCTGGAAGCCTGTGTGGGAGTCTGACACCAAAGGGACAGACGCTCAGCGCCTGTGCATGCAGGCTGACTGCAACCTGGTCATGTACAACAAGTGTGATGAACCCAGGTGGCACACAAACTCTGCCAAATCTGACTGTAACATGTGCCGTCTTCACTTGACCGATGACGGCAAACTGGTGTTGAACAGAGAATGTGATGAAATCTGGAACTCGGCCAAATCCAAAGGCATGAAGTAATTAAATGTATGTGAAAGTCATGTTTGGGAGTCAACTTGAGTTACCAGTAAACATGCCTGCTGTTCAATTTTGGATCAAATAAAAGCAACATTTCGTAAAGTGAGTTTAAGTGAGTTATTTTCCCTCTCTCAAAGTATGTCTCTGCATCGCAACTGCTTGTGAGTTTACAATTATTTTTATTAAAATCAGAGTAAAAATCTAACATTGAATAGACACTGTGATTTTAGCCACATTTTTTGTGAATTCAAAACAATGAAAAACATGGAAAGTGAGTTGAAACATGAGTTGTGTTACAGTAAAACATGGGGATTCTTTAGAATGGGGATGCTAAATTACATGAAAAACAACATGAAAACCAACAAATGTTTAATCTAATGGTGGCTCACATCATCATTCAGTGGAGCAGGCTGGTGCTGAGTCTCAGTCTTTTATCTAGCAGAAGCGCACTCAAGTTTTTCAAGCATGTCTTTATTCCATGTGCAGAAAATCGTTAGTTTGCCTATCATGCAGAATGCATTATCTTTCATTGCCACAGGATGAGTTACAACATGTTTTTAGGTATGCACTATGCAATGAAATACATCGGTAATTTGTACACCATGGAACCGAGTGATGAACCGCAACCTGTGCCAAACATATAAAGAAAGATAAACTGAGCTGGCTTTCTTGTTAAATGTTCACTCTTATCCAGTGGTTCCCAAACTTGAGGTCCTGACCTCCACTAGAGGGTGCCAAAGTTCCACAGGGGGTCATGAGGCCTTCTTGATTTTAAGGGGTGTAAGAACACCTAAAAAAAAAACGAACCCCGTAGGCCTACATGGTAGGATTCATTCATGTCTGTGATGGAAAATAGTTTTTCTTTAGATAGTTTCAGATTGTTATTCAAAATATTAACTAAAAAAAAATCCCACAGGATAAGAGTGCGGTGAGGACCTTAACACAAACTATAATCACAGAGCTTTCAGTTTCCGTTTAACAGATTTGACCTGCACTAGAAAAGTACGCTGTTAAAGCAACCAAAGAGCTAATAGAACAATGGCCAAGCATGGCAGAGAAGAAAATACTGAATTTGTTAAACACAAGAAGCCTATTTAGTATGTGTCCTTGTAAAAAATTAAAACAATATATATAATACAGACAGAAAATGGTATAAACTGTTACAAAAAATAACAGAAAAAATAATCTCTGATGCAGCATTCCCAGGAAATAATCCTGCAGTCGTTAAGTTCACTATTTGTACAGTTTATTAGTTGTTGTGTACTTTTATTGTTATGCATCAAATATAATGTGAAATATCCATACAATATTTCACTTAGTAAGTCGTCAGTTTGCTCAGTGGTATGAAAATGTTCCCATTAGGAGAAAGGTGCAGACCACTGCTCTAATTTATAAGCCAGCTGCAGCAAAATATGCCCTTTTATTCTTGTTACCACCAAACAACTAGTGTTAGGGAAGCTACTTTGAAAGCATAACTCTGAAAGCTACCGGGTACTTAACACTGCACTGACAAAGTACATGTGATACAAAATTTTAACAAAATATAATACAACAAGTTGCATGCAACTAAAATATTATAAATGTCAAATGCAAGTAACTGCATGACAAATTTGACTTCAAAAGCCAAAAATCCTGTGATTCGGGTGGGCACGTGCGCACATACACAAAACACTAACGTTTTAAGAGCTTTGCCGGCCCAAGATCCAGTCACATCAAAAGGACAAGAGAGGAAAGAGATCCAGGGCTTTAGTTTTGTTTAAGCATGAAACTGTGGGTGGCTGCGGCTCAGGAGGTAGAGCAGGTCGTCCTCTAATCGAAAGATCAGTGCTTCAATCCCTGGCTCCTCCAGTCCACATGTTGCAGTACCCTTGAGAAAGATACTGATCCCCAAATTGCTCCTGATGGCTGTTCCATCAGTGTGTGGGTGTGTTAAAGCTGAGTAGCAGGTGGCACCTTGTAAGGCAGCCTCAGCCACCGGTGTGTGAATGGGTGAGTGTGACATGTGGTGTTAAGGTGCTTTGAGTGGACAGAAGACTAGAAAGGTGCTACACAAGTCAATTTCCCATCAATCTGGAAATCCATCTGTAAAAGAAAAAAAAAAATTCTTCCTTTCCTACAATGTAAATTTCAGAATCTGTCTTGAGAGATTAATTTCCCATTGAAAGATGTATTTTCCTAAATGAGCTTCTTTCTGACTTCAGCCGATTTGTACTTTTGTTGTGATTTCCATGAAGGAAATTAAAAACAAAATAGTGTGACCCTTTGGTGCTGATCAAATGTTAAGGAGAAATATTCATTTTATGTCTACAGTGTATCCAAAACTTCATCTGTCTCTTCATGCCACTTTGTTTTCGCAGTAACTGTTAAGCATTGATTGGCTGTGCAATTTGAAGCGAAGCCCTGGCAAACAAGATAGAAAACAGCTCCAAGACTTTTGCTGATAGAATTGCCTCTCGTGTCTTGTCTTCTTATCTTCTGTCTCTGTAGTGACTGAAACAGATGTTGTCAAATGTCTGGGGTGTAGCCGACCTTAAAAATATGTTGAATTCACTGCCAAAATAGAATTTATGGTGTTAAAATGTGTTGTGTGTAGACTTGTTACAGACCAAAACTCATCATACCCTATATTTAACATTATACTTTCCACTCTGTATCATACTGGGAAGAGTTTCACTTTGTACTCTGATGAGAGGAAGATGCGTGTATTTTCATCAGACATTGCTTTAAGGTCAGAGGGAGGTGAAAGTTGGCTCTTTGTTTGGCCTTAGTTTTTTCCATCCAGTTACAAGTGTAGAATCTTGATATTTTGCTGCTGGGCCCAGGCAGTGGTGAAGACACCAGAGCTTACTTTTCACTGTAAGGTCAGCTGTGAGCATGAACTGCATTTGGAGGAAGGGTGTAGTATGGGAGTGTCATCTATCTGTATGTTTCTCTTTAAAGGAACAATGTGTAGGATTAAGGGGGACATTAAGTGGCATGTAGTGCTGGGGATTGCAACCAGCTGAAACTTCTCCTGGTTAGATTTCCGTTAGTGTTCATTGTTCAGGAGGTTTTTACCAGTACCTGAATTATCAGCAGAGGTCTCTTGCTCTCCAAAACAAATGGACCAGGGGTGTCATTCATAACCATTGCGTACGCACAAAACAAGGCCTAAAAACTGGCGTACGCCATTTACTATGCAAAAGTTGCAATCTATACAAACAAACTTGAAGGGAGCATGTGCGCACCTGTACCAACACTTTGACCTATGCGTATGAACATTTTGGGGACGGTAAAGTGGTGACACAGATACAGGGTTGGAAATTCGCACCCACCCAAACACCACTGTGGACCTAGTACACCCCTTCCATAGCTACGCTGCTTCTTTATGACAGTGGCCCCCCAAGCAGAACAATGTGCCATGCCACACTGCAAAAACTCTTCAGGAATGGCCCGAAGAACGATACAAAGAGCTAAACGAATCGACCTGGCCTCCAAATTCCCCAGATTCTAATCTGATTGAGCATTCATGGGACGTACCGGTACCCCAGAGGTACCCCCAATCTACTGTGGGGCCTTCTTGGATCAGACTTGGCTCTGTGATGTCAAGGCATGGACACAGGGCCTCTGGGGGTGTCCTGTGGAGTCTAGCACTGGGGCATTGGCGGTGGATCCTTTGAGACATGTCGGCCGTAAGGTGGGGTTGTGGCATGCCCTACAGATGCTTGATCAGATTGGGATCTGGGAAATTTGGAGGCCAGGTTGATGCCTTGACTCTTTGTCATGGTCCTTGGGCCATTTCTGAGAATTCATTTGTAGTGAGGCATGGTGCATGTTCTGCTGGAGGGGGGGCACCGAGGAGTGTTATTGCCATGGGGGAGGGGGACTTGGTCCGCAGCGGTATTTTGGATTAGTGAAGCGCTTCAAGTGGCATCCACATGAATGCCAGGACCAAAGGTTTCTCAGCAGAGCTTGGCATTGTAACAAGATGGTCAGTATTGTTCATGTCATCTGTTAGTGGTATTAATGTTTTGGCTGATCAGTGTATTCCATTAACTACCTGAAGCCTTTACCTTCAACAAAGTTAAATGAAGGCATATTTTGTGAGGTCATTGTCGTGATGAGCTGCATTATCTTCTAATATAATACTTTGCAAGTCAAAGTCATCTTTGGATGTCAGCGTGAACAACTATAAACCTGCTATGTAATCTAAATTTTAAAAACAATGTATAAATGTGTTGTTTTTTCACTTTGTACTTATTGGGTCATGACGTATTACTTATCTTAAACAATTTTACTGTAATGCAAATATCTTGGTAAATATTACAGCCAGTTGTTGGGATTGAGCTCGGAAAAAAAGGGGAACTAGAAAAAACAAGTAAATCAGAGAACATGAGCACACTTCACTGAAACAAAAGTAGTAGCTTAAAGTTTGCATATCAGTCTTTCTCTTGGCTCATTAAAACAGAATAGGACTTCAGAAAATGGAAAAGCAGAAAAAAAATAAGTTGGTATTGTCACCAGAGGAGGTTTGAGTTTGCCTTCAGGTCAAAAGTTCAGTTCCTGCCATCTGTGCTTTAGAGACAGACATTCATTCATCTCTTATGCAAAAAATACATATATCTGATTAACTCGTGTCATAGAAAAATGTACTTGTTGCAGTCAGTTGAACCAACATCTATACCAACCATTTAAAGAAGGACTAACAGAAGCTGTTTGATTATCACATGTATAATTATAATTATATCACTATATCTGCAGCATATTTTGCCTTATGAGAGAGTTTTATGAGCCTCTTCTGTGGAACTGCTTTATATGAACACACTGATATCAACCGTCTCGCTGTTTTATGGCTCCTCTGTGTGGAGAAGAGTGTACCCTCTCCAGCTTTCTTCTTCATGAACCATGTTGGAGCTGTTTATTATTATTTTTTTAAGTATTTGATTTATTCTACGCAGTCACTTTATGTAGAAAGGACTGAGCAGCAGTATGGGTTTGTGTACATAGGCAGATTTAGGATCAGCATGTACCAGGGGGCGTCTATATTATTTTTATTGTTTGCCAGAACAACAGAGGCAAAAGAAGCCATAGTTTCTCTGTTTGTGTGAATGCTAAGGTTAAATAAAC